AAATATATAATAATAAAAATAAAAATATATGTAATTTAAAGTTATCATTAAAAAACCTAGACATAAAGCTTTTTGTCACAGCCTAATCTCGGGCCATGACCGGCCCATGGGCCCAATAGACATAACCCACTAAGCCCAAGCAAGCCTTTCTATGAAAACCTGTTCATTAGTCCATCTATAACCCATCTTTCTTTAAGATACATAATTCGTAATTTTCAATAATAATTTCTTCGAGAATAAATCATGCAACCAAGCATATACCATCCTCAAAATGATGTTATCACTAGCCAACCTATGACGACAGTATTAATCAAACTAAACATACAATGTTTACAACAAATCTTACAATTTACATTTAAACAACCATATACACACGCAAAGACCCTTGACTACCAGCAGAATGACTCTGGGCGTGGGTGCTATCAGTAAGTGTCATGGTAAACTTACCAAAAGATGAGTATGAGGAAGCACCTCAAACTAGGATCCAACTACCTTTGAATCTGAAAATCAAAACATGAAATTGAAAAGAATGAGTATAAACCCAGTGAGTGAGCATAGGAAAGGAACAAGCAAACGATTTGGACGGTTTTATGAAACACGATGCACTTATGTTAACCATCATACCACTAGTTAAAACATCTCATGATTCTCAATGCATCACTCGTCACAATTCAATTGGCAGTTCAATATAATATTTCAAACACATAATTCATCACATTATACATTTTACAACATAGGGATATCACTAATCAAAGGTTTGTTCCCATGCATAGTTTAAAAAAGTCAAATAAGAATATTCAAGTACTTCATTCAAACACATATGCATTTGCCCAAAACATTTTAAATGCAAGTTCAATCACCTTGATGATGCCACCTTACAGGACTAGCACCAATAAGACCTCAATCCAAGTCTTGAAATACCATTAGAACCTATATTTACCAATAAACAATAATAACCTTAAATATATCATAAATTTGAACCTAGTAATTCTAATAAATATACAGTAGATAAACTACATTCTAACCTACCATTTAACCTATAATTCGAGTCTAATTCACAAACTCATTAAACTAACTATTCAAATTTAAGGCTTTCTTACCTTGGTGACCTAGGAAGTGTAAAAATCAACCAAACCTAATAATTTTAAAAAACGAAAATCTAAAAAATTAGAAAATAAATTTGAAAGTTTTGAAGCTGAGAATATTACCTTAGCTCAGATTTAAAGGATTTAAAGTTCAAGCCTTGACATTTAAAATAGGTGAGGAATAAAAGGAAGAATGGAGAAGAGATAGAGACTTTCTCTCTCTTAAGGTTCAAAGGAAGCGACGGTAAAGTGTTGAATTTTTTTTTTTCTGAGAAAAAGAAGAAGAAAGATGAAAAAAGAAACTCAAGAAAAACAAAGAAAAAAAAAATGAAGCACGTTGACGGGAGAATGAAGTCTTGGGCGGCTATGGCCAGGAAATTGGCAGAAAGCAAGAAAATGGGCTTTGGTGGCCGGCCAACTAAGGAAGAGAAAACGTATAAAAAGGCACAGCTTGCCTTAGAGGCTTTGACTAAGCCAAGAAAAATGCTTTTGTCAAATTAAAATTTTGCCCTTAGTTAAATATTTTCACACATTTTTTTAACTTTTATGGGATTGGATTGAAATATGAAATAATCTTTTAAAGAATATATTTTAAAATTTTTTAAATTCTTAATTATTTTTAATAAAATATAAAATAAATTTCAACAATAAATTTACTTTTTTCAAAAATTTGATTATCAAATAATTTATTAAATTTTGGATATAAATATTCACTAAAACTCACCAAGAAGAAAAATGAATTTTTCCTTGATCCATGTTGCCACTATTTCACTATTTTACGCATATATTAAAATTTTAATTATCACATTTTTTAAAATTATGACTAAAAATCTTTAACATAAAACAACAAAAATTAATATAAAAACTCATAAAGTCAAGATAATTAAATTTAAAATCTTAACGTAATATGTGAGAGTTAATTTAACAAGTCAATTAAGAAAAAATTTAATTTTAATAAAAAAATTTAAATTTATATTCTCATACTAAAATTATTTAATGATATATAAATTTTAATTTTTAAATAAAAATAATAATAATAATTTTTATTATTATAGTTTAAAATTGACATAAATAAGCCTTGATATAAAACTATAACAATTAACAAAAAAACTTATAAATTTAAAATAACTAAATCTTAAATCTTAATGTAAATGTGTGAGAGTTAACATAACAAGTCAATTAAATAAAATAATCTAATTTTAGTAAAAAAATAAATATTTAAATTTATATTTTTGAACTAAAAGTGTTTAACAATATACAAATTTTAATTTTTAA